TGGATTTATAGCTTTAAGATATTATGGTTGCGGTATTAAGTCCAGATACCCTGGGTCAATAGACGTTAGCTTGTAGACATTTTCCGTTCTTGAAGGATTTTTGACTAAAGGAATTATTGTTAACATACTATGTTAGAGATATTAACTTGTAGAGGGTGTTTAGAATACACATATATAATATATCAAAAATAAATAAATAAATCACATAAAACCACTGAGTACAATGACATAAAATTTGATCATTTCTAGAGTTCAGATTACCAAAAACATTGCCTTCAAAGAAACTTTTGCAGATTATTAATGGGTTCTAGTGTTAATAGACATAAGCTCCTCCATCTCCCCCCTCGCTTTCAGAAAGCTTGTGAACTCCCACAAAATTGGGAAGAGAAACAGGCATTCCTCCAGCATGGTTATCTAGAGCTAGATTTTGCCATGAAGAACTTGTCTCTAATAAGCTTCATAAATTAAAGAAGCAGACATACTAAACCATGAATTCAGGAGCTTTAGACATAAATAAATTCCTGAAACACTAGTTGGTTTTATGTAGGAAATGAATGATTTAATAAGAAGTATTAATAACCAGAGCCATTCAAGCTAAAACAATATCCGAACACGATTGAAACCTCCTGCTTGAGGATATTATTTGAGAGAAGTCATGAAGAAAATTTCCTCAGATCACAGATAGTACACTTGTCTAGGTGAATTATGTTGGTTCTCCCCCCGCCCCCCCCTCCTTTCTTTCAAAGCTTTACAAATTAACAAGCATCCAGCTGCCGGAGGCGGGATATTAAACTTGGAGAGTCATTGGTCGGATTTGGTACAGCGATTCCTATGTTCCTAAATCACCCACGTTCCTTCTAATTCCACTCTAATTTACTTATGAGACACCATTTTAACTGAAGATTCATTTCTGGTTTTTGAAAATGGTGACTTAAACAGAGCTGACTTGTATTTGAGTTCAAGAGCGAAATACTAATGACACTGCCAGTGTTCACTTACTAAACTTTGTCCTGTGAAATAACTCATGACATTCCAAATTGGAATTCAGTGATAACAGAATTCCTTTGCTTATGGATGCAAATATAGTTTTCAAAAAATTCCTGAAATGGCTATTAAAGTGATGAAGCATTTTATTCTATAATTTGAGAGGAATTCATCTAAACAAGAAATATCCTTCTCTTCCTGTCTGTATGAATTAAACATTTTGTGAAGTACAACATATTTCCCAAATCCACAATTCAGAAACAGTATGAAAGTATAATCTAAATTAAAATCTAAATTTAAACATTTTGATTTTGCTATGTCTCATAAACATTTTATGTTCTTGTCTGTGGTGGAGTGAACTTTCTTTATATGCCTCTTTTGAACTCACGTCTATCTTGGAAGAAGTACAGTCAGAATACTCCCTGCAGGCATGGATGGCAAGACTTCATCTCACATACTTTGT